CTTGGTAGAGCATGGACCTCTTCGCTGCACCCAGCAGGAGATGTTCCCCAGCATGAGCTCGCAGCAGCGCCACCTGGATTGAAACATGTCGCAGATTGATAAATATGGCCGTTTCTCAGTATGTGTACTTGTGCGTTCTTGTGTGCTTGTGAAATGTCATGAGCCTCAAGGCCTGGTTATCCTCCCCGCAGTAGTGTGTCGCAGTTAGGTTATCGCAGGTATGACGCAGATATTTTTGATTTATGCCTAATTTCGAAGAGTGGTCTGCGCTATGTTTATACCACGCCAAAACGCAAGAGGGACAACCAGGAACTAGCTGTGGGGGCAAGTTTGTGCGACAACGGAGGGACATGAGGGCCAAAAAGAGCGGGGATCCAGGTGGAAAAAGGGTCCCAGGGTTCTCAAACATCTCGCTATTCTAGTTGGTCCATCTTCACAGGCGTTTTCCACAATAGCGGTCATATAAACAAAACAAGCCGGTAAGGAACCAGACAGGAAATACGCATCGTGGAAAGTGGATGTAGATTTGACCAATCAGAGGCCTCCTGTCTGTGGTCACCTACAGGTGAGGCGTGTCACTCCCAGATCCGTCCCAGAAGCACAATCCGTCCTGTACATGCGCGTATAGATATACATGCGGGTTTTCATAAATAATGTAATTATTGTGCTAAAATTACTTATTTCTATCCTTAACTCACTAAAGAATGCTAATACACATCTTTAAAAAATGTTTAATGACTTTTCTGAGATAATTTTTATGCTTTTTACATTTTCTCCATTAAACTGCTTGTCTGACGTCATCATGAGACTACGGAGCCCTTAAAGGGACAAGGAGGGGAAAAAAAGAACTTTTGCGAGATCACGCAATACTTTTGCGAGATCTCGCAAAAGTATAGCGGGATCTTGCAAAAGTTTATTTTTTGCAAGATGTCACAAAAGTTTATTATCCCGCAATACTTTTGTGAGATCTCGCAATACTTTTGCAAGATCCCACAATACTTTTGCGAGATCCCGCAATAGTTTTGCGAGATCTCGCAAAAGTTTATTTTTTGCGAGATCCCGCAANATCCCGCAATAGTTTTGCGAGATCTCGCAAAAGTTTATTTTTTGCGAGATCTCGCAGTACTTTTGCGAGATCCTGCAATACTTTTGCGAGATCCCACAATAGTTTTGCGAGATCCCGCAATACTTTTGCGAGATCCCACAATGGTTTTGCGAGATCTCGCAAAAGTTTATTTTTAGCGAGATCTCGCAAAAGTATTGCGGGATCTCGCAAAAGTTTATTATCCCGCAATACTTTTGTGAGATCTCGCAATACTTTTGCGAGATCACACAAAAAATAAACTTTTGCGAGATCCCACTATACTTTATTTTTTGCGAGATCCCGCAATACTTTTGCAAGATCCCACAATACTTTTGCAAGATCCCACAATAGTTTTGCGAGATCCCGCAATAGTTTTGCGAGATCTCGCTAAAAATAAACTTTTGCGAGATCTCGCAAAAGTATTGCGGGATCTCGCAAAACTTTATTTTTTGTGAGATCTTGCAGTACTTTTGCGAGATCTCGCAAAACTTTATTTTTTCCCTCCATGTCCCTTTAGGGGCTCCATATGAGACACGCTCAGAGCAGTCCGGTAAAATATGATTAAACCATGTTTATCTGCAATTTAGCTGTTTCTTTCTTTAGATTACGCACTATATACCAAATGAAGCAAAAAAAAGACTAGATTTATGTTTAAATCCAAAGCCGAATAAGTTAGCCACCGGAAGTAGCGTAGGATCGCATTTCCGGTCCAGATCGCTCACAGACGACTGATAAAACAGAAACGATTTCAAGGCATTTATTTTTTTTAGGAAATACGTTATTAACCTTTAACACATTATATTTTAGTACGTTTACTATTTTTCAGGAGGGAAAAACGTCATTTAGGTATTTTTAACTAAATAAAATCGAGGGCGACCCGGATGTATATCTGGATGCACAAATGAGCCGATGGTGCAGAACGGATCGTGCTTCCGGGACGGATCAGGTAGTGACAGTGCGTGCTCCCATTCTCCCTGAGTCCACGCTTTCCTGTGTNACATGTCGCAGATTGATAAATATGGCCGTTTCTCAATATGTGTACTTGTGCGTTCTTGTGTGCTTGGGAAATGTCATGAGCCTCAAGGCCTGGTTATCCTCCCTGCAGCAGTGTGTCGCAGTGAGCTTATCGCAGGTATGACGCAGATATTTTTGATTAATGCCCAAAAGTTTATTTTTTGCGAGATCTCGCAAAAGTATTGTGGGATCTCGCAAAAGTTTATTTTTGGCGAGATCCCGCAAAACTTTTATGAGATCCCACAATAGTTTTGAGAGATCCCACAATAGTTTTGCGAGATCTGGCAAAATATTGCAGGATCTCGCAAAAGTTTATTTTTTGCGAGATCCCGCAATACTTTTGCGAGATCTTACAATAGTTTTGCGAGATCTCGCAATACTTTCGCAAGATCCCGCAATACTTTTGCGAGATCCCGCAAAAGTTTATTTTTTGTGAGATCTCGCAGAAGTATTGTGGGATCCCGCAAAACTATTGTGGGATCTCGCAAAAGTATTAGGGGATCTCGCAAAAAATAAACTTTTGCGAGATCCCGTAATACTTTTGCGAGATCCCACAATAGTTTTGCGGGATCCCGCAATAGTTTTGCGAGATCTTACAATAGTTTTGTGAGATCTCGCAATACTTTCGCAAGATCCCGCAATACTTTTATTGTTTTTTATAGTTTATTTTTTGCGAGATCTCGCGAAAGTATTGTGGGATCTCGCAAAAGTTTATTTTTTGCGAGATCCCGTAATACTTTTGCGAGATCCCACAATAGTTTTGCGAGATCTCGCAAAACTTAATTTTTTGCGAGATCTCGCAAAACTTTATTTTTTCCCTCCATGTCCCTTTAGGGGCTCCGTATGAGACACGCTCATAGCAGTCCCGTAAAATATGATTAAACCATGTATATCTGCAATTTAGCTGTTTCTTTCTTTAGATTGCGCACTATATACCAAAAGAAGCGAAAAAAAGACTAGATTTATGTTTAAATCCAAAGCCGAACAAGTTAGCCACCGGAAGTAGCGTAGGATCCCATTTCCGGTCCAGATCGTTCACAGACGACTGATAAAACAGAAACGATTTCAAGGCATTTATTTTTTTTAGGAAATACGTTATTAACCTTTAACACATTGTATTTTAGTACGTTTACTGTTTTTCAGGAGGGAAAAACATCATTTAGGTATTTTTAACTAAATAAAATCTAGGGTGACCCGGATGTATATCTGGATGCACAAATGAGCCGATGGCGCAGAACGGATCGTGCTTCCGGGACGGATCAGGTAGTGACAGTGCGTGCTCCCATTCTCCCTGAGTCCACGCTTTCCTGTGTTCTTCTCATGAACATTTTGAATTGAGAAACGGCTTAATTTTTTTTTTTCTTCCTCAAGATCTCTCACGTGAAGGCAGAACAAAATCAGAGGCAAACTCTAACTCTCCACCAGCATCAGCAAATCAATGACTAAGGCCTGGTGATCACGCTGTTAATGATTGTGGACGTTTTCGAGGAGGGATATAACTTTAAAAACCCAGCTCATCATATTCTAACCAGGGATTAAAACACATTAACCCCTCTGGTTGAAAAGTTGAAGAGTTTTGTGGAGAGCAGCCTTGTTTTTCTTAGACATTTGTTTGCCTCACACTCCTTCTTTTCCCACCAATTGCTATTTTATGGAGGAAGGAACGATTGTGAGCCAATAGAAATGTCGCTCCTTCCGCCCGTGTTATTGATGGGAGTGAACTGGTTGATGAGTGACCAGACTGGCTATACTACTATGTACTCTCTGTCTGTGTATGTATGGAGGACCTGCAGTGAAAAAATAAAAAAAAACACTTTAACATATAAATCATGGATTTGAAAAGGATTTTACACTGGAAAAATAATCTACAAATAAGTAACATTTTCTTAAATTAAGTGTATTTACCCTTAATTTGAGTAGGAAAATGAGATAGTTTGCCAATGGAATGAGTATTTTTACCCTTAAAATAAGATAATTAGATAAAAAAACACTTGAAATAAGACAGTGCGATTGTGTTTTTTTTATTTTAAATGTAAATTGTCTTGTTCCATTTGCAAAATTAGTCTTTTACCTCCTCAATCCAAGATCAAATATACTTATTTTAATAAAAAATGACTGATCTAGATTTTGATTTTTTCCAGTGTATAACTGCACATTTTTCATCTAATTAATAAAGAGGACTTGTTAAATATATTTATCAATCCATTGGTAAATACTGCAAATTGAAAATTTTACTCTTAAATCCTATTTCAAACTGGAAATAAAAAAAACAACACATTTTATGAATCTGATTATCCTTACCTTACCTTATAAACATTTAAAAAAGTAACTATTCTTTCCATTTCCATTTGGTTTTTCACTTTGGATTTGAAAATCCTTATTTTAACTTAATTTTTAAAACTCTTTTTTAAGTATTTCTGCGATCAGCAGTTTAGTTTCAGCCATTTAATAGTTTAGAGATAGATTATGGCCGCTTTAGTAACGGCTTAATATCCAGGATCACACAGAAGTGAAATAAAAAAGGACAACTGCTGAGCGTAAGTAAAGAATTAAGAGGGTAAAGTAAAAAAAAAAAACAAAATTAAATTGCTAAAATTATTTCCTAATGGAAAGGGGAAAAGAAATTGATATGGATAAATAGATAAAGGAATTACTTTTTAAAGTTTGACATGGAAAGTGATTTATAAATTGTGATTTCCATAGAAATAGCATTTAGAAATTACTTTTAAGTTTGCAGTATTTAATAATGATTGTTAAATAAAATCTTCATTAATGATTTTAATTTAAAATGTGATCCTTTTTAAATTGGACTTCTAAAGCTATGATTTAAATGTTTTTTTTAATGTTTTTTTCACCTACTCTCCTGGTGTTCTGTATGAGCCATACCTGGTCGTCCAGAGGCAGGTCGCAGAAGGCCGGGATGTATTTGGCCCACTCCACCAGGACCAGCAGCTGCTGTTTCATGGACTCACAGACGTCGGTGATGGTGGCGATCTTTTTGGTCCTTATGTCCCCGTTCAGTATGGGTGCAGGCGACGTGATCTGTGCAGAGAGACGCCGATTTAGCCACAAATGAACGGTGGCAGTCGGGTGTTGGATGTATTCGGAGGATTTACCTGTCTCGATAGAACATCTGCCTGAATGAGTGCGTTGATGGACGGTAAACTGCTGTCTTCGTAGCTGGATCTCCTGGTGCTGATTCTGTCTCTCTCATTCTGTACAGCTGAGGGGGGGAGAAATGTGTGGGTTACCCCGCTTTAACATTTGTACTGAATAGGAAAATATGGAGTGAATTTTGATTCATTATTACAGGCGATTTTGTAAAAGGATCTTTGAAAATAATCTGGAAATAAAATTTCAAAAAAACTCCCTAAAAAAAATAAAAGCAACAACATTTTAATCGGTCAATTCAGTTTAGTTTATTTCTATTCAATTCACAACACACGTCATCTCAAGGCAGTTCAACCAGATCATCCAGTCAGATTGATTCAAAGTTTTCTATCTAAGGAAAACCAGCTGATTGCATCGACTCATTGACTCTTCAGCAATCCCTCACACTTAGCATGCTTGTAGCGACAGTGGAGAGGAAAAACTCCCTTTGAACAGGAAGAAACCTCCAGCAGAACCAGGCTCAGTGTGAGCGGCCATCTGCTGAGGCCCACTGGGGTTCAAGGAGACAGAAGCAGAGATACAGATGTGTCTGCAAGTGCGAGCGTTTGTTTTGGGCTTGAAGTAAACACAATGTAAACTGTGAAATGCACATTAAAAAGGCAGCCATTTTTAAAACGTAATCTGAAAAAGAGAAATTTGAAAAAAACAAAAAAACAAATCTGTAAAAATAAATAAATAATGGAAAAAATAATGTCAAAAATCAAATCCGAGAAAAGAGAATAGTTAGTCTTAAGACTTTTTTTAAATTCGGAAGTATTTTTATAACGTTTTATTTCTAAATTGCATTTTATTTGTAAAATTTGCATTTAAATTATTGTTGCCTGCAACAATAATGAAATCAAATTCGCTCCATATAACTAATGGACATTTACTCGGGGACTTTGCGGTGGAGATGAAAACCCATACTTGATCACATCACCATTTCTATTCCACAATATCGTCATTCCACGAAATGTTTTCCTAAAAGTCTTAGGAAGCAGTAAGATGTTTTTGTATGACAATGATGAGTTGGGAGCTCCGTTTTTCCCTGGAGCTCCCAACAGAGGCCATTTTTTGCCAACCCTTTCAGACTGAGAGCTTTTATTGATTTAGTTCCACATCCATTCTTGATTCTTGATTCTTACTTTTTGTTTTCAGACAGGTCATATTTAAGTGATTTCTTGATTCTGTATCTCTGGTAGAAATTAAACCTGGGTTTGGTCACCTTAAATGTATCAAAAATGAGGCTAATTATAATAAATTAATCAATATACAAGTTTAGCCATAAGCTTTAAAGATACAACAATATTGGATTTTATTAGTAAGCAAGTAGTTAGCAGCCTCCTAGTGCAGCATAAAGGTTAGCATAATCCTCAGTTAAGTACAAAACTGTAGGCTATACGTTTAAAAAGAGAACTGTTGGAAGCTAAGAAGTTAGCTAATCTCTTGTTAGCTAACCTTAGGGTCAGATGGAATGTGGCGGTGTTCTGTCAGATTAGCATACCTCATCAGACCAGCATACCATTAGTCAATACCCGTTTATCCCTTTAGTTTCGTATGAAAAATTTACTTTAGACTACTTCAACGGGTGTGTATCCCTTAGTTATTTACAATGACAACAAAACTATTTAGGTACTTACTTTTTGAAGTTTTTTTTGGGAGGTATGGCGATCTGACCTTAAATTGTTATTTTTTGTACATAAATAAAGGGATACATGGCTGTTGAGGTTGTTTAAAGTGTATTTTTTGTACAAAACTAAAGGAATAAAAGCAAATCCGGCGTCTTGTGTAATGTATTTAGAAGCTCCATCAATGAACTATAACAGAAACTAGAAGTTGAGGACATTAGCCATGTGTCTCACTGCAGAAGTTTGGATAGTAACGGTCGATGAAGCATCAGCCGTTACTGTCCATCCTAAACCAATTAAAGGATGATTGATCATTTTGAATATACATCTTTACACCAAAGAAACGATAGAAACTATTTCAGACGGGAATTTTGATTTCAGAAGTGGGGGGGACGCAATTATTTTTAAATATAACTATAATCAGCGTGTTTGATCATCCAATCAGAGGCCAGATTCAGTGGTGCTTCTGGCCTGTTAGTAAAGGGAGCTTCTCAGGAGTGACAGCGATGACAGCCAATCACACAAGGAAAGACGGTGGGCCAATCAGGAGCTTTTGGGTGGTCTAAATACAGGGAAGCGGGCCTCAGCTTGAGACGCGTTTTTCCGCTTGGTCCTAGTGCTTGACGAATGTCTGTGTACTGTAGCGTAACATACTGTAGTTTTTGGACAGTACAATGTGCAGGGGACCAAAACAGATGTTTGAAAAAGGGCAGGGGACATGTCCCGCCCCCTGTATCATCCTGAGACCAGATTCTTAAACGTCACATTTGGACTTCTTTGTAGTTTTGACATCTTTTGATGTTCGAAAAACAAGGCACTTTGATAAAGTGTA